CTGCATTGTGCCAAGTGTAAAGTTTGGTGGAGGGAGGATTATGGTGTGGGGATGTTTTTCAGGGGTTGGGCTTGGCCCCTTAGTTCCAGTGAAGGGAACTCTTAAGGCATCAGTATACCAAGACATTTTGGACAATTTCATGCTCCCAACTTTGTGGGAACAGTTTGGGGATGGCCCCTTCCTGTTCCAACATGACTGCGCACCAGTGCACAAAGCAAGGTCCATAAAGACATGGATGAGCGAGTTTGGGGTAGAGGAACATCACGAAACGTCATGATGCGCATGTGCAGTAAGGAGCAAAGCCAGAGCCTCGCAGACCACGGGACTCGCAAAATGCAAACAAGGAGGGAGGAGCCAGTATAAGCCAATTTCACACCGAGCGGTCCACATACCAAGATCGTAAGGAATCAGTTTAAAGGGGGAATAAACCAAGGCCATAAAGTAAAGAAAAATAAGAAGGAGAACAAGGAAAAGAAATCGGAAAAAAGTATTGAAAAATAACAAAAGTGAGCAACATAAACCAAAAATAGAGTATAAATAGAGATAAAATGAGTAAGAAAATGTGAAATCAATGCATCTAAAAGCACAATATAAAGAATCAATATTACATTGAGAATAAATCGATGGGACATGGAACGAATTACATAAAGAATAAATCAATAGAACATGGAACGAAGCACAGAATGCATCAATCAGTCAGAAAGCATGATAACGACATAGTAGTGTTTAGACCCCTGGGTTTCACCGTATTAAGCGTGTATGTCCAGAACGCCTCGCTACGTAATAGGATGTTGTCCCGATTACCTCCCTGGTGGGGTTTTGGTATCTGTTCGATAACCATGGCTCTTAATTTGTGTACCTGATGGCTGAATTGTGCAAAATGTATCGCCACTGGTTTGTTGGGGTCAATGTCCTTGCCCTTTCGTTTGAAATCAATCTCTTGCTTAATACCACTTTATGTTTCTGGTAACGTTTTTTAAATTGGTTTATAGTCTTCCCTACATATACCAGGGAGCAGGGGCATTTAAGGATATAAACGCAGTAATCGGAAAGGCAATTAAAGTATTCATGAATAGCATATTTCTTTCCCGTATGTGGGTGTGAGAAAAACTCACCAGTAATCAAGGAGTTACACATATTACAATTGTAACATTTATAGCAGCCCTTCCTGGTGGAAAAGATGTGTTTTGGAATGTCATATTTATTACATGGATCCGCGCAAACCAAAAAGTCCCGAATTGATTTATTTCTAGAGTAGACCACACAATGTGTTTTTCTGACGGGACCAACATCCTTTCTGCCTTTAATATATTCATATTACGCTTAAGTGTATGTCTAACAGTTACTATCTGATATATCTAGTTATCTCCCTATTGCACATGACCCATTGTTTTCTATTTGACATAAGTTGTCATCATTCATAGAGTTAGCCTTGAGCCAGAGATGGATCTCTGAGGGTGTTTATGAATGGCTATACAATCAACACCCTAGTACACACTTAAAATATGGCTTACCAAAGATTCATAAGGGGAAGAACCCGCTTACCTATAGACCCATAATTGCAGGTACTGGATTGGTATTGCAACCACTTGCTATGCTTTTGGACGATTTCTTCCAACAGCTTGTGAAAGCATTCCCTTCATTCACACGTGACACGAATTACTTTATTGATAAATTAGGGAGCATCGATTCTTTTCAATCGAGTTGGACTTTACTTACGATACACATAACGTCCCTATATACATGTATTCTAACAGCCTTGGGATTACAAGCAGTTGGCTATTTTCTTGCTTTGAGAGAGTCACCATCCCTCCAGACAGAGTTTATTTTGGAAGGACTTAAAATGATATTGGAGAATAATTATTTCCGCTTTGAGAAGCAATATTATTTTCAAATTAAAGGTACTGCGGTGGGCAGCTCTGTTGCTCCATCCTATGCAAATCTTTTTGTGAGGTATTTGGAAGATTTGTTTATTTTTCCATCTGAATTTTTTGTACATGTGAAAATGTGGACTCGATACATAGATGATGTATTTGTGGTGTGGACTGGACCAGGTGAAAATATACAAATGTTTGTACAATATCTGAACACACTGGTACAAGGTATTGTGTTTAACCGTAAGGCCTCACAGACCTGTATGTGTTAGTTGGGGTTAATGAGGGGCGGATCACCACTTCCCTATATACCAAACCCACTAATGGTAACACCCTGTTGTCCTATAATAGTGCACACCCTGATGGTCTGAGAGAATCCTTGCCTGTCTCTCAGTTCATCAGAGTGAAGCGCATTTGCTCTGATCCTGGTGACCGAGCATTACAACTGCAGAAAATGTATTGTAAATTTTGGGATAGGGGTTACCCTCATCACATATTAAAACGCACAGGGGAGATGGTGATAATCAAATTCCAATCACCCAAACCAAGATTGGTTGACCCTGACCATGCATTATTGATCACAAACTTTCATTCACATTCCCGACATGTTAGACATACACTTAAGCGTAATATGAATATATTAAAGGCAGATAGGACGTTGGTCCCGAGTGTCAAAAAAACACCTTGTGTGGTCTACTCAAGAAATAAATCAATTTGAGACTTAATGGTTTGCGCGGATCCATGTAATAAATATGGCATTACAAAACACATATTTTCCACCAGGAAGGGCTGCTATAAATTTTACATTCGCACTCAGTTTTTGCTGCCCGGATTTCTAGTTTGCATTTTGTTACAATTGTAATATTTGCAACTCCTTAATTACTGGTGAGTTTTTCTCACTCCCACATACGGGAAAAAAATATGCTATTCATGGATACTTTAATTGCCTTTCCGATTACTGCGTTTATATCCTTAAATGCCCCTGCTCCCTGGTATATGTAGGGAAGACTATTATACTGGCTCCTCCCTCCTTGTTTGCATTTTGCGATTCCCGTGATCTGCTTGGCCTTGGCTCAGCTCCTTACTGCACATGCGCATCATAATCCTTGGGCGGGGACTTGATCCCCACGCACACTGCCGCGGGGGGTTCCATAGAGACCGCTGACGCTGATAGCTCACTCATAGTGAAGCCGTAACGTCTTGTCCCTCTGATCTGTTTGCCGGCCTTTTCTCGCGGCCCACATACCAACATGATCTGGCTGCACATATCAGGTATTTTATTGATTGTAAACTTTCCTTTGCACACATGTTTATGCTGTGTTTTTACTATGGTTTTTACTATAGATTGTATATGGCAATTTCCTGTCTGGTGTGCTCTGATGCCATGATGATGTCATGGGGCGCGGCTTTAAACTTTTTCCACACTCACTAAGGGGTATATATGTGGTATGGTATGTCTTGCTCACTTGTCACATCTCTCACTTACCCTGATGAAGGGACCCTGCGTGGTCCCGAAACGTTGGGTTATGCGATATGTGTGACGTTTAGTCCAAATAAATTGACTTTTTTTAAATTTCATTTACGGAGTGCTGGTGATTTACATTATTCATTGACTGTTTTTAAAGTAGACACTCCAAGGTAATCTAATTTTTGGCTAATCCCCAATTTTTTGTAAATGAAGAAACATGCCGGTATTGAGAGGTTTAAAACATGGAGCTTGGTAATAGTGCACAAGATACAATGAATGTACAGGTCATAGAAAGAGGGAAAAGGGGGTGAAAGGGTTATTGTACAGGTCACATACAGTGGGAAGATGGAAATAAAGGGATTAATGTACAGATGTGCAGGATAACTGAGATGAAGGGGTTAATATACACATCAGAGTAGAGATAGAATGGAGCTAACATATAGGAGAGGAGGGAGGGTAAAAGGGTTAAAACTTTTTTTTTTTTTTTGCTGGTGCTGCTGCTGCTGCTGCTGCAGCTTGCTTTACTCTAGGAAGCAAAGAATGGATGGCTCATCCATTCATTACTTATTTTACTCTCCCCTGCCTCTGATGTAAGAGGCTGTAAACATTGCAATGTGATTGCTGTGATAACCAATCACAGGACACAGAGCCGGTATGATTAGCTCTGTGTCTAAAGTCACTGTTCTCTGCTGTCTAATGACAGCAGGAGCAGCGGCTGCGCGCACACACAGGTGTTCTCGGGAGGACGTATAGGAACAATGCGCCAGTGGACCGGCCATTTTAATACGGTGGCAGGCCCGCAAGAGGTTAAAGTACTCCTTACGAACGATTTTGAGAATCGTGTTTTTCCACCATTTCAGGGCCATGCACATGTTACAGGATTGGCATATATTTGACATTTGTTTACTTTTTTTGTGTCTGTCTGGCATCTTACCTTACTGTATACAGTTTAAGTGGAAATTGACCACTGATTTAACAGCTTCCCAAAAACGTTACATTTAAGACATGTTTCTAGTAATAACTGTCACAGTTGCCAGTGTGACCTTGTGAACCGAACCTTAAAGCCCTTATTGGCTGGTGTAATAACTGGTCACATGTGCAGCACCATGTCAACTTCAGCTCTAAATAGAGACTAAGATGGCACTGTCCTCATCTGTAAAGAACAGATGGGTTTAGTTCCACTTTAAATATTTATTATGAATCTGTTGCATATTTTCTTACCTTATCCTCAGAATTATGCAGCAGTGTTGTCAGCCTGGTATGTGTACACTTTCAATTGACCATTGTGTTGCCCATTAGGTCAATAAGATAGGCAGACCAAAGGAAAAAGGCAAGGAGCATGACTGGCAGACTGACAAATCTTTTGCGAATTGTGAGGCAGTGATTTAGAATTGTCAGCCTTTAACAGGAAGTGCGGTTACATGCAGGATATCTGTTTCTCAAGCTGTTACCAAGCTCTTAATGTTTATGTGAGATTACAGTTAATTGTTTTTTTGAAAAGATAGTTCAGAAAGGTTCCCTTTTAAGAAAACAACAATACCAAAAGCTTCAAACAATTCTGAAATGTATTATTTACAAACTAATTAAGTATATTATATTTCTATGTACCCTATGCTTTTTTTTCTCTTGGTAAAAGTATGATTATAACAATATTTGTAATTGCATTTTCTGTTAAACTGTTTAAAGTATTTAGACATTTCAATGCATTGCTGAAAATATGTTAGAGCTTGGCCTTGCTGACAGCAGTTCCCAGCTCTGGATATTTGTCAATTAGACGCTGTGCTTCTCTCCGTCCGGACATCAAGGCACCATGAGTTGTAGAATAAAAGTTTGTTTCTGTGGCTTCTCCAGCAAAAAGGACCTGTAGCGGCTAAGAAAAAGAGAAAACATTTATCTAAATTTTATTCTTTTACTAGCTTCAGTAAAATCTTATTAGATAGTTATCACTTTGGTGTAAATGAGTTACTTTGAGGGCTCGTTTCCACCTATGTGATTTTTTTATGAAGCGTTTTCACTGAAATAAATGGAAACACATCAAAAGTCAATTGTATCCACACTGATTTTTAACATCGTAGGTCATGATGTGCACGTCAAAGCATATGTCGACATTAGGTTTCCATTGATTAAGGTTGAAAAAAACACTATTGGGTGAATGCACGTTATGTGTATTGCAGTGCCATTAACTTTGAATGGCACGCCAAAGCACTAAGGCAACCCACCTGCACTGCAGTGTGCCGCAATGCATGGCAACACATGGTAGCATTGCATTCCCAAAAAAGGGTCAGGTGCGGTTTTTGTTGTGCTGGGTAGCTTTGACTGATCATTCAAAATGAACAGGCTGCTGTAATGTAACATGTGTTAATGCACCACAAAAGTGTGATCCCAGCCTAAATGGAAAATGCATCAAGCAAAAAACATAAAGGTGTGAATCCAGTCTGAAAGCTTGGTTGGGTCAACATTCCTACCATTATCCCCATCAAGGCTGAACATTCATATTTGCATATTAAACATCATGTTTCTAAACTGTATTTAAGATAATAAGCCACTCCTTGGTTTGCAGATTCGTTTCATTTTAGGATGCAACTCAGAAATACTCTTCGTCCAAATTATTCTCATTCCTCCTGAAAATCCCATCACTCTTGGCCATCTCACCCCTCTAAACTTTCACTGATTCATAGTTATCCCCATAACTCTGCCATCTCACCTCTAAACATCATCACATCATTAAAAAATAATCCAATTGTGCAATTACTAAAATTAATATCTACTAAGGTTCAAACACAAAGGGATGAGTGAGATTTGCATCTCCAGTTCCCACAAACGTATAATTTTTTTTTTTTTAAGGTGAAGAGACTTAGAGCCCATTCACACATATGCAGTCAGTGTACACTGCGATAAAATGCAAATATGCTGCATTTTATTGCACGGTGCAGGTCACCGTGCTGCTGTGTGGTGACCTGAATGGAGTGTACACATTGTACACTACCAATAAAGTTAAAATGTGTATATATATATATATATTTTATATAACAGTGACAGCTGCGGCAGTGTTCGATACAACACACACTGCCAAAACTGCCACAAAGCACTAGCCCATCTGCTGAATCGCAGAGTTTTAGCGGACAGGCTAGTGTGAACATGCCCGCAGTGTGAGACAAATGAAAACAAAAGACACCATGGATTTTTTTCAATCATTAAACCTATAATTACTTTACTTTTTTCTTGGCTTCATCTCATGGTTTACCTTGACAGCATCTTTATCTTTGGGTAAAGGCTCTGCAAGAATCTGAATATCACTTCCAGAACTGCCCACGGCCACATAGCTGTAGGAGCCACCAGTGTAAGGCTGGCTGTGCCACTGGCTTCGCAGAATACTGATGGGTGGGGGGAGCTCAGGGTTCCCTATATATAGTAAGAGAAAGAGTAAAGATAAATGCAGATTTATTACCACCTTTGCCTGAGTACTGTTTATACAGACTTGGCTACATAAGTACTGGAATTGTTCCACGTATTTATTCTATTTAGAAGCACTGATAACAGAATTAAAGGAGAACTATGGGGTCAGTGTTTTTCCCCATAGTTCTCCTTAGGGTAACGGGAGGACACAAACTAGCGTCCTCCCGTTACCCTAAGCTCAGTATATCGCGAGCTACAGCTCGCGTTATACTGAGACGCCGCAGCCGGAGCGGATCCCGACATGGACGTCGGGATCCGCCTAACTGCGTGAGTGATAGCTGGCTCTGCCTATCTAGAGGCAGAGCCAGCTGTACCCGCCCCCTCCCCCGTCCGTTCCGCCAGTCAGTGCTGGCAGATCGGAGCGGGGAGAGGGGAATCCAGCCCCTCCCCCTGTCACGGCAGAGAGCCGTGACAGGATCGAGAGGTGAGCGAACCCGGTATGTGTTCGCTCACCTCCCGATCTACTGAGCCGACCTGCGACAGTCTCATTGTCACAGGTCGGCTAGAACTATGAGGTGAGTGGAAATCACTCATCTCATAGTTCTCCTTTAAAGACTTTGGTGTCTGTAACGTGGCTTAGTTATAAAATGTAAACTATCTAGAGGACAACTTTAGAACCCCAACCAAAGTACACTATATGGCCAAAAAGTATGTGGGGCAGGAAGGTGAGGTCCTCCAAATTGAGTTCAAGTGTTTCAGGCACACTCATTGTTAATAGGTAGATAAAACCAAGCACATAACCATGCAATCTCCATTGACAAGCACTGGCAATAGAATGCAGTGTATTGAGGAGTTCAGTGGATACCATGCCAAGGTGCTAGGTGTCATCCTTGACTCGGACTTCACCTGTCTGCCCCACATCCAATCGCTATCCAAATCCTGCTGCCTTCACCTTTGTAACATCTCTAAAATACGCCCCTCCGTCACCAATGAAACCGCAAAATTACTCATCCACTCACTTGTTATCTCTCGCCTTGACTATTGCAACTCCCTCCTCATTGGCCTACGTCTACACAAGTTATCCCCCCATTCAGTCTATTATGAATGCTGCTGCTAGACTCATCCACCTAACCAACCACTCAGCGTCTGCAACCCCACTCTGCCAATCCCTCCACTGGCTTCCTATAGCCCAAAGGATAAAATTTAAAATATTAACAACCACTTACAAAGCCATGTACAAAACTCCACCCCTGGCTATATCTCAAACCTTGTCTCAAAGTATCACTATACCCATCCCCTCCGCTCTTCCAAAGACCTCCTGCTTTCAAGCTCCTTGTCAACTCCTCCCATGCTTGCCTCCATGACTTCTCTAGGGTCTCTCCCATCCTCTGGAGCTCTTTACCCCAACCTGTTCATCTATCTCCCACTCTGACTGCCTTTAGGTGATCCCTTAAGACTTATCTCTTCAGGGAAGCCTATCCCACCTCAAACTAACCACTGAAACATCACGTTCTCAAACAATTCATCCCCACACAGCTACCTCCTCATTCATCCCCACACAGCTACCTCCTCAAGGCATACAATGTCAATACAGTGTGCCAACAATTCATCCCCACACAGCTACCTCCTCATTCATCCCCACACAGCTACCTCCTCAAGACATACTGTCTTGTTTGTTCCCAAGTCTTACTTCATAGAAGCCACGGTTTCTATATACTGCAATGAGAATGGTCAAAAGGCCCAAACAGCTGCATGCAGTTTGGAATAAATGGCTTTATTATATTAGGCTATATTTGCACTACACACTAGTGGTTCTGGATGTGGATTGGACTTATGGGGCATAAAAGCAATGGTTTGCATGGCCCTGCCCACTGTTCTGAAATGAGGAATAATGCTCTTATTTTTGGGATATGTGATGGGATTAGAATTCTGAATACCTTCTTTAAAAAAAAAAAAGCTTTACTGTGGTGTGGTTTGTTAAAATGGACCAAATTAGACCGATAACTGTCTCTCACATCTTCTCTTTAGTATGAGGCTCTGCTTTCTCCTGGGGACCAATTAACAGAACATCCGAGGACTAACAAAGAACTGCTGGAAACTCTGCTCCTCTTGGGACAATAGCTAGCTTCTATTAACTGTGGAAGTAAAATATGGGCACTCCTGGCCCACATCTCTCCTACCACCCAACCCCCCCCCC